ACTGGACCCAGCATCCGACGACGCCTGGATCACTCTCCCCTCCCAGGAGGGCCCCAAACCAGACGCCTGTAGTGACGGCGCCTGGGGGCGCAAACTAGCCTGCGCCTGCATCCGTTCGCACTGCGCCCGCGCGCTCGCCGACGACGGGGCCCCGCCTGGCATCGCCTGGGGCGGCAGGAAGTGGGGGGCCGCGCGCCTGGCGCGTCGCTTCGCCCAAGTGCCCCTGCTAGGACAATCCTGGAAGCTCCGCGCCGCGAGAGGCGCCCCGCTCGAGGGCACCAACCCCGCCCGCGACAGCGCTGGCACCCTCGTTGACTGGCTCGCCAGCCTCGAGTCTGACGTGCTATCGGACGACATCCTGTCAGATCAAGAAACAGGCAGAAGCGATTCAGTTCGCGCGACTACGCCGTCGGGCGAGGCCGCGCCCGCGCAGGCCACCCATCCTCCGCCCAGCGCAGGGGCCAGAGCAGAAGAAGATGGGGCCACGGGCACAGCGACTGGCGACCAAGGGGTGACCCAGACCTTGACTGGACGCGGGGGCCCGCGCCAGCGGCGCCACAGACTGGCCCGGAGCCCCCAGTGGACGACGATCCCGGCCCCTCTCCTACCGGCGAGGATCATCGCCAAGTCTCCTTCTCACACCGTGGCCCTGAGTGCTGCCGCGCCGGCCAGAAGTGACAACGCCGCTCCTCTGGGCCAAGGCGGAACACCAGATTGGCGGCACGACCGCGACACGGCTAACAGACGCAAGCCACTGCCCCCCAACGACTCACGGGCGAAACAAATGGCAGCAGTTACCCAACACAGGAGACCTTGGGCGCGCACGGAAGGGCATGGGAAGGGGCACGACCAAGGATGGAGCCCTTGCGACCAGGCTCAGCGGCGCGCGGGCCGCGACCGGGGCCCCAACGGCAGCAGGTGGACCAACTCCGGCTCCAACTGGAACGACGACGGACGCGCATGCGGCTGGTGCTGGTCGAACTGCAGCACGTGGGACTACGGGGCCCAGCGACAGGGCCACGCCGCACGCGCGACTCCCAACAGCGAAGCCGTTGGCATGTGGCTTCGATGGGGTTTGGCGCGATGTCGCCGACAACCCCCTCGCGCCAACCGACTGTCGCACTCGCGTTGGCGACCAGATGTACAAGACGCCCGCGCAACCTCGTCGAGGCGCAGGGCGCGGCCGAGAACAACCCCGCCTTCATTGAAAGGGCGCAGACCGAACTCGGATCCACATTCTACAGGGTCTAGCACAGTTGGATTACGCGCAAGGCAAATCGGGCCAGGCTTGCCCCTGTGGACCCACGCCTGCAATCCCAGACCGCCTGCGAGGACTTCCTGGCCGCCTGGTGACAGAACGGCTAGGGCGCCCGCTCTCTCGACCAGCTGCGCCGACTTCAAACCGACTTCGACGCCCCGCGGGGGGGCCTCGCGTCGGACGATCGGGGCAAAGCCGGGCGCCCAGGCAAGGGGCTAGACCGCGATGCCCCCGTAGTGCGAAGCGGCAAGCAGGGCAAACGCAGCCGCGGCTGGGACGAACCAACTACGGGCAAACGACAACAGTGGTAACCACTCTCCACCACCCCTCGCGCTCAATCCTCCCCGGGCCCCGCCTCCGGCGTTTTCTTGTCTTGTGCTTGCAGCGATCAGCTGCCTCCTCGCTTCTCTGCCTCCCCCTCCCTCGTCGTCTCCACGTTCATGCTGCCTCGGGGTCTCTCTGGCGCGTTTCGGGTCTATCTGCGCATTCCACTTCGGAGGGCCCACGAGCGTTTGCCGCGATCAGCTGCTTGCCGCGGGCATTCCTCTGTCGAGGCTGGTCGAGTGCTTGCAGCGATCAGCTGCTTCCTACGGGCACCCCCTGCCGAGGACGTTCGAGCGCTCGCAGCGATCAGCTGCCTACTACGGGTATTCCTCGCCAAGGACAATCGAGAGCTCGCAGCGATCAGTTGCCTCCTATGAGCACCCTTCGGTTGATCCTGCCGGCGTGGCACCAGCTCCCCAGGGGCTGCGCTCCCGTCCGCCCCGCCCCTTGACGGCCGCAATGGGTTCATGCTGGTGGTCTGGGCGCGCTGGCCCCACCCCGGCCACTGGCCGATGTGCCCTAGGCGATGCGGGCACCGGCCCACGGCCCCACGCCGCCCCATCCTCGGGCTACCCGACGGACGGCGCTCACTCGCACGGTTCCCGTGCCCCCATCGCCCTCGGGCCCGCGCGCGTGAAGCGTCAGGTTTCATCCTGCGGCTTTGAAGTCCTACCTGCCCGACAAGGCTTACTTGGCGGCGGGTGCGCCTGGCCTCTCACCTGTGGTCGCCTTCACTTGCGCGGGCCTGGCGGTCCAGCTTTTGGATCGCGCTTGCGGGGCTCTGCCGCGGCGCCCACCTTGAGCTCTACCTGCGCAGCAAGGCCCCAGCGTGGCTACTGGGTTTTGGCGCCGCCACACGGTCACTCGGTTCCTCCATCGCCCTCGGGCTTGCGCACGTGAATCGCAATGTGTCATCCTGCGGCTCTGGGTCCTACCTGTGCGACAAGAACCCTTGTCGTCTGGCGCGCTGGGTTCTCACCTGTGGTCGTCTTTACTTGCTGGGCCTGGTGCTCCAGCGGCTGGGCCGCGCGCGGGGTTTGGCGGTTGGCGCCTGCAGGTCTACCTGCGCGGCCAGGCGGAACGGACATGGCTACTGGGTCACAGTTGTCGGGCTCCAACTCATCGGCCGCGCCGTCTGCTCCTCGGCTACCTGGGCCTCCGCGCCTTGTTGGCTGCGTCTCTTCGCTACGCGCTTGTTTTCATGCCCTTCGGGCACTGTGTGGTCGCCGCGCTTTTGTTCAAGGCCGTCGTGTTCGGCGCGCTCTTCTGCTGCTGACCACCTGGTCGGTTTCGCGGCCTCTAGCGCGCCGTCGCTCACTGATCTTCTCTTCGCTACCGGCGCGCTCCGCCGTGGCAGGCTCGGTGTTCGACTCGTTTCGCGCGCCGGTGGACCAAAAATATCCCCGCCAGCCCATCCAGAAACGATGCCCAGTGGAGTTGAGGGTATCAGGGAAGTGGGGGGGCATGCAGAAGAACAACAAGCGGGGAAAACCGCCCGATACCCCGAGAGGGGGAGGATGGTGGAGGAGGAGGAGGAGGAGGAGCAGGAGGAGGAGCAGGAGAACGAGCATCTTGGCGAGCCCAGGGGCTTCTCTGAGCGTTTTGGGTGCTTCTGAAATCCTCTTGAGACCTCTTGGGGGCCTCTTGGGGGCCTCTTGGAGGCCGCTTGGGCGCCTCTTGGGGCTGTCTGGGCGCCTCTTGGGGCCCTCTTGGGACGCACTTGGGAGCTTTAGGGGCACTCATTACTTGGACCATCTTGGAGGACATCGATAAAACATGGGTTCCTTAATTCCCGCCCTTCTTGGGCCGCTCTTGGGGCCGTTTTGGGGTTGTCTGGGGCTTCTCCTGGAGCCACCTTGAGGCCTCGGATGACCACCGGAAGCGAAAAGACGAGAAATAAACAAAACCATGGATTTCCCGTAGTCTTTGAAAGGCTGTTGGCTTCTTCGGGGCCTCCTTGGGCAGCTTTTTGGCCATTTGGAGCCGCCTTGGTGCGGTCGTGGGGCCCCCTGGAGCATCTTGGGAACCATTTGGAGGCATATTTGGAATAGATTGAGCCATCTTGGGGCTCATCTTGGGCTCTCCGAGGCTCTCTTGGGACCGTCTTGGGCCATCTTGGACGCCCAACCCCTCGGGGCTTGTCCCCGTCCATGTCCAGGGGAGGGGGTAGGGCGAGGGGTCAAGAATCCCTTCCCGCCCGCAAGCCGTTGCACTCGCTCCCACCCGCCCTCCCAACACAACATACGAAACACCCGAGTCTGGCCCGAGCCTCAGCATATTCAGCAGTCGTGTTTGGATGGGCAGCTACTGGGGGCCAATGCGCCGCCGCCTCCGCCGCCGCCGCCGCCGTCGCCGCCGCCGCCGCGCCGCCCGCCGCCGCCGCCGCCGCCGCCCCCGCTGCCAAATCGCCGCCGCCGCAGCCGCTGCCGCCACCGCCACCTCCGCCGCCGCCGCCACCGCCGCCGCCGCCGCAGCCGTCGCCGTCGCCGCCGCCGCCGCCGCCGCCCCCGGTGCCAAATCGCCGCCGCCGCAACCGCTGCCGCCGCAGCCGCTGCCGCCACCGCCACTTCCGCCGCCGCCGCCGCCGCCGCCGCTGCCGCAGCCGTCGCCGCCGCCACCGCCGCCGCCGCCGCCCCCGCCACCGCCGCCGCCACCGCCGCCGCCGCCGCCGCCGCAGCCGCCGCAGCCGCTGCAGCCGCCGCCGCCGCCCCAGCCACCGCAGCCGCCGCCGCCGCCGCCAAGTGTACTATTTACTCTGTATTGTTTTTTGGCAGGGGTGGTGGGGGGAAGCCGCATCGGGTTGGCTGCGCATGCTCCGAATTTGGAGGCAGAGTGTGTGTTTGTATGGTTTTGTGCAAAGGATGGTGTGGGGGGCCCTCATGGCTCCTGGTTGGCTACCAGTCGCCTGGGGGAGGGGTGTTTTTATGTATCGGGAAAAACGCCTTCCCGAAGGGGAAAAGGGGCAGATGGAAGACGAAACACACTCGACCACCTGCGCCCTAAAGGGCTGGTGGGGTTTTGGGGAACCCGTGGAAATCCCAAGGAATCCTTGTGAGTCCGGATCTGTGTATATATGCCTTCTTGGGTGGACCAGTGGGGGCCTGCCGAGATCGGGGTTCACGTAAAGGGGCTCAGCGCAAACGGGGCTCAGCTAGAACGCCGGACCTTGCAGGATCCTGCAAAGCTGGAATTTGGTTGAGCCAGGTTTGGGAGCCGCTCGTGCCCCTGGGGGTAGGCTCACCTATTGGCTGACCTTGGTCTGGGAAGTCCCCCCAAAAACTGCAGCGCATGCTTGTTAAGATTTGTTGAGTCGGGTTTGCGCTGAGCCAGAATATTGCACGCCCGATAGTTGGTGGATAGTGCGTAGTGGTGGATCGTGCATTGCCTAGGGTGGCGGATAGTTGGCGCCCTCCACAAGGAGGAGCTATGAGGAAGGCGGCCCGCGGTGCTAGATGCTGGCCAGCTTTCGGCGATCCAGTTCGACGCGAATCAGATCTAAGCTTTGTTGCCGCCATGCCGAGCACGAGCAAGGACGCATAGATGCGGCCCAAAAAAAAAACCGGCGGCCGCGATCCCCTCCCTCCTCCTCCTTCTCCTCCTTTGTCCATGTTTCTTCTCTCCATTCTCCTCTCCCTCCTCTTGGAGCGGGGGTCTAAGGTGGCCCAGCACTGGTTCCGGCCAGCAAGAGGGAGGGGGCAGGTTCGAGGTGGTGGGTTATAGCAAGTTGGCTGCCTTGTTCGGCCTCGGGGGGCCGCTTTCGGGTTTTAGGATTGTTAAAAACGAATGGACCCCGAGGGTCCGTGGACCGATTTTGAGCAGGTGTGTCTTCCTCCTTCCCCCCCTCTTCACAGGTACTCTCGGGGCCCAGCCAGCTCAGACCCCCTGGCCGACTCCAGCCCACCTCGTCCCCTCCGCATCTTGTTCCTGAGCTGGGGCGACGCGCCCGCGCTGCACCGCGGGACGGCTCAGAAAGCCGGTCTCCCTCTCGCGCCGTGCGGTGCCGCTGTGCCGTACTGTTTTCTCGTGCCGACTCGGGCGGCCCTAGTTGTGGACCCAAGGGCTCCTTCCTGGAGCTCGCGGGGCTGTGTGGTGGGGCGTGCCTGGTCGGGGGAGGTGACCGTTGCGGGACCCTTTCTGGGTCCTTGTCCCCGCCGTTTCATCCTTGCTCTGCAGTTCCTGGGTGGTGCGAGGCGCTAGGAGCCTTGAGCATTGCAGTGGTCGCGCACGCGGTCCTCCCTATATTCTTCCTCCTCACCCTACTACTTCTTTCCCCTGCCCTCTCCCACCTGCCTCCTCTCCCTCGTAGTCGTGCCGTTAACATCATCTTGCTGCTGATGTCTGTCGTTGATGCCTCATCTTCCTTCCTTTCTAACTCCGACCTGAGTCATAGTCCTCAGCACCGTTTTCCTCATCCCCTTCATTGTTCTCTCCCGCCTTCCCTTTCACATTCTCCTTCCACTGCTCCTCCCTCCCATGCCCCTCCTTCCCTCCCCCATCCCTCTTCCACCACCTTTCTACTTCCCCTCCCACTTCTACTGCCCTTTTCCCGCCTCCTCCCCCGCCTCAGCCCACTCCGCAGCGTGGGAGGTCGATGACAAGGACGACGGCGAGGATGGCGACGACGACGACGACGACCATCACTCCCGGCGGCGTTTTGGAAGCGCGGCCGGGTTCTCGCCTGCTTCCTGCGCTTCTTCCTCTTGGTGTTGCTTGCTCGGACGACCCGCCAGGCTGCCTCGGAGGGGAGGGGGGCAGGCGCGGTGTCCGTCAGAGGACGGCGACTTGGACGAAGGCGACGGCGACGAGGACGCGGACGAGAACGACTTCGATTGCGAGGAGTGCGAGGACGACGAGAAAGTCGGGGGGCAGGATGTGGAGGAGATGGGCGAGAAGGAGGAGGAGGAGGTGGAGGAGGGAAGGGAAGGGGGCCAGGAACGAGGAGGAAGGATGTGTAACACCCACGGGCACCTGCCGCGACAATAAAGCGGGGATGGTGAGACCCTGCGGGCAGCCAGCAGGTTTGCACCCACCAAATCAGATTTAGGTCCAATGTGAGGCCAGCCCGACTTGAGTACGGCCCTCGCCCCTTGGGTACGGCCCTCCCGAACAGCTGGACCAGCGTTTCTCAACCAACTTGCCGGAAAGCTGGCCCAGTTTCTTGAGCATGTTCGCCCGTCCAGCGTAAACAACCGAATTTGGCCCAGGCTTGTTTTAAGGAACTTCCAGGAAACTGGCCCAGGTCTCTTATATATAGTAGTTTTCTTGATCATATGATCGGCTGTAGCTTGCTCTACCGCGACGAGACAGCTCTCTGTGGCGCGACTCATCCGAAAGCGCCCGCTTTTGCAACGAGCCTCGGTGCAAGGAGCGCAGCCGCCCCGCACAGGACGGGCGGAGGCGTGGCCAGTAGCGAGCATCGGGCACCGGCAACGATGTGCTGGCGCCGTGGAAGGGGAGGAGGAGGAGGAGGAGGAGGAGGAGGAGGAGGAGGAGGAGGAGGAGGAGGAGGAGTCGTGGCGGCCGCAGATGGAGCCACTACGTTGAACTTTGACGACGCCCCGGTGACCGAGGCGATTGCCGCTAGAGATGCGGCCCTCAGACGCCTCCACAAGTTAGTGGGCGCCGGCCTCAGCCGGCAAATTGGGCTCGTTCTGCTTCGGTATTTTGTGGGTGGGGACGTCACGTACTTGGAGCAGGTCCAGAGAGTGACCCACGAGGACGCATCCAGTCTGGACGCAGTCACGGTGAGCGCGGTCGGACGCATGCTCGGCATTGCTGACAGCGAGGGTGTTGCCACAGCCCAGTTGTTTAAAAAAACCAGCATGGGAGGGCTTGGGTTGCGCAGCTCTGCCATGAATGCTGCCGCCAGTTATGTTTCAGCCTGGGGTGCACGGCTCCCGTCAATTGCCGAGGCGATTGGGATGGCCGGTCCTGGGACGCTTCTCGAGCAACTCCCTGCCCTTTCTGATTGTTTGAATCAGGAGGCGGCGAGGATGCAGCATGCCGGGGTCGAGATATCAGGCCTCTCGGAAGCACTGGAGCAGGCCCAAGCTCAGGGTGCCAAGCGCCGCTGGGCGATCTCTGTGCAAGCACGCGAATTGCAAACTCTCTCACGCGGCATGCCAGACGATCGCACGGCGAAGCTGCGCGCTGCTGGAGGGCCCGGCGCCGGTGCATGGCTCCTACCGCCAGCCCGGCCTGGCCATCGGTTCACAGACACCGAGGTTTGTGCAGCCGTGCGCCTCCGATTGGGAATTCGGGTTTTCGCGTCCGCCGAGGGGCACGGCGGCTGCAGGCACGCCCGCGTGGCCACTCGCACTGCACATTGCGGTGCTGCACTCGACCCGGTCGGCGACCATGCCCTCCGGTGCCACATCGGCGGCGGCGCCATCAGCAGGCATAACGATATCCGGGATGTGTTTGCCGATGTGATCCGTCGTGCAAGTGGCGCCCCGGTAGCTGTAGAGCAGCTGCCAGGTGCAGGCGCCGACGACGAGCGACGGCCCGACATCAGCTTCCACGACCACAGAGGGCTTCGCCAGTGGGTGGATGTCGCCGTCGTCACTGCGCACGTCGGCGCCCTGCCTGGAGCCGGGCCCGCCCGGCAGGACGGTTGCACGGCGGCCTCGATGGAGGCCGTCAAGCGTCGCAAATATGCGGCTCTTGCGCTCCATCCAGCTGTGTTTGAACATTTGGGGAGGCCAGGGGCGGCTCTAGTCACGCTTGTGCGTGCTCTGCAGAAGGATGCGGATCCAACGGAGCGGGATGTGCACATCCAGGGTGCGTGGCAAGATCTGTCATGCGCGCTCCAGCTTGGCAATGTCCGCCTTCTCTCCAGCGCGGGTGCGCTGCAGGCTTGCTAATTTGGCTTGTTCGCACGCCGCAGCCGTGGATGCAGCGAAGCAGCGATAGGGCAAGCTGTGCCTTCCCCTTCGTCGTCCCGTCTCTTCTCCCTCCTCCCTTCTCCCTCTTTTCTTCCTCCATTGCTTCGTGGCCCCAGTGCCGGGAGCGCGCGCGCGCCTAACGGTGGGGTTTGGTGGCTCACACCCCATGGCCGCGCTCCCGTCGTTTCTGCCTCTGGCTCTCCCCCTCCGTCCTCTCCCTCGTCCCTGCCCTCTCTCATTTACTGTTGTGCCGGATCTTGGATGTGGCCGGTTGCGGGCGCCGCGAGCGCCAAGCGCCTGCTGCCCAGAAGCGGCGAGCGGCGACGTTACGACGTTTTGTTTCTTTTTTTTTCGAAGCCCCCTTGTGCACCCACGGGTCCCCTCGGTGATGGGGGAGGGGGGCCAACTCTGGCGCCCGTGGTGGAGCAGGAGGAGGGGGAGGAGGGGGAGGAGGAGGAGGAGGAGGAGGAGGAGGAGGAGGAGGAGGAGGAGGAGGAGGAGGAGGAGGAGGAGGAGGAGGAGGAGGAGGACGAGGAGAACGAGGGGGAGGGGAAGGGAAAGGACGAGGAGGGATGGGAGATGACCTCGAGGAGAGGTGGAGAAACGCGATGTTTGTTGTTTGGGGGAGGAGGGAACGCGAGGAGGAGGAGAAGGAGGAGGAGGAGGAGGAGGAATAGGAGGAGGGGGAGGACCGCGTGGCGTTTCCCTCCCCCCGTCGCCGCCTTCCTCGCCCCCGCCCGAGGCGCCTCCCAGCCCCGAGGCGGAGGGGGCGCTGGCTCGGCACCCGAGCCCGCAGGCCCCAGGCCAGCAGGCCAGCGGCGAGGAGGCGCCAGAGGTGCCAGCCCGGCAGTTGCCCGGGCCGGCCGAGGCGGCGCGGGTCCCGGAGGCTTCGGTTGTTCAGAAAATGAGTCCTGAGGGATGGGGTCCTAAGGATAGGAAGGAAAGGATCCACCAGTGGTGTGTAGGTATGACTCTGTTAGGGGGTCTTCCCATTCAGAAGATCATTCTCCCTTGCCGTGCATCTCTCTCCTCCTTCTCCCTCCCCCTGGCAGCCGTCTGGTTTGAGCGGCTGCTGCTGTCGCCCTGTTGCGAAATAAGGGGTGGCTTCCCTATCCCCTCATCCCGCGCACACGCGCGCGCAGTTGCAATGTGGTGGTGGCCCACCGCGCCTGCGGTTTTGGCCGAACCGGGGCCTTGGAGGGCCTGAGAGAGAGAGCGCCCTTTGGGGGCTGTGGAAGGCGCGGCGGCGGTCGCCGTCGCGGGGGCTGCGTTCGGCCCAAGAAGGGATTCCCCAAGCGAGGACGGGCCTGCCCGGGAGGCAGACCGTCAGGGCGCGGCCCAGTGAGAACAGCGTTGGTGGTAGCCGATGTAGGGACCTCAATGCGCCTCGGAAGGGGTGCCCAAGTCGGTGGTGGGCCAAGCCGCAGACCGGACCGTCAGGGGAGAGACCCACGGGGGACTTACGTCCCCCGTGGGTCTCCCCCCGTGGGTCTCTCTCCGAATTCGGCCCCGAAGGGGGGCGCCGGGCGAGACGAGTCTGCCCCCGCCGGCAGCGGGCGAGGAAGGGGGCGGCGGAGGAGGAGGTCGGGCCGCAGAGCCCTGACTGGCATGCCCCCACCACTCCTGCAGGGGAGACGGGGGGGAACGAGGAAGGAGGAGGGTCCGGCAGCAGGCGGTGAAGATTCTTTCCTGCAGGCCTTCCTGGACACAGCGCTTTATCACCAGCCGCACGGGGCCCACCTCAGCCAGT